AATAGTTTCCCACACTATTTGGCAATGCAGTTCAACATGTATAATAATTTTAGGGTCAATAATGAGCAATCGAGAATGGCTTTTATGATCGCAGACGACGCAGGCGGCCATATTGAAAGAAGCGCCAAGTTCACAAGCCCCTGCTGTGATGCAAATTGAGTTCAAGGAGGCGCATGCATTTTTTTCGGGAACTCTCTTTAATTCTATGGCTTACAGTGTGATCCATGACATAGAAGCGATTTCAGCAGGGGTTTCAACGTGTTTATGTTTGGCACGCGTACATGCCACGGGGTCTGAAGAGGTTAAAGAATGGTTTTCACGCTACTTCATCGTAATACTATCAGCGGGGCCTTTCTGCCATTATTACATTGTGGTTTAACCGAAAAGAATGGGAAGAAATATCTGCCGTGCCCGTCATGCCTGTCACAATACATGACCAAGTTCGCGAGAAGTGAGTTTCTTTCCCTTATTTCCGTCATATGCCGCTATGGATATCCGAGACCCGCATGTAATAAGGTCGCAATTAAAACTTTTTCAAAGCCTTATTTGCTTTATTTGACTGCCCTCGGTGTCACTTTGTTGGCCTCTATTTCCCATCCGAATTCAGTTCACTTTGCTATCTCCCAAAGCCTTCTCATATTGCCGGATAGAGAAGAAAAAAAAAGCGGATGAGGTACTCGAGAAATATAGATCGAGTCGCACTGACGCTTGCAGTCGCTTTTTTCCGATGCTAGCTTTCGCTGCTGCAATGGCTGACCCTTGCAACGCGAGACAATCCTGCTGATGGACATGGGGGGGCTTACATCTCCTCGCCAGGAAGGGGGGGACTTTGAAACACCTTGTAAGTGGACTAAGTTTCATTTACTTTCTTGGCATTTATGAAGCGGTTTAGCTTTATGTCTCTTTCATGACACATTACGGAAGATTGGAATGCCTTTTTACACTCGCTTGACTGAAAACTTGCACTCGCATTTATTCTGGGGAAGAGGGAGGCCTCGGACCGCGGATTCGCATGGACTAGACCGCGGATTCCGACCTTATTTGTGCATCGAATGCGGGGATTCCCGGGTGACGATGCAGACAAGCGAGTCTGAAAAACAGGTAAGAGACGGAGAAGGAAAAAAGGCGAAGATTCCGACTTCCATTTCATCGCAACTCAGCAATATTTCCAGTGCATTCCAATTCCGTCCTTTTCTGGGCAGGAATTCCTCGGGGAGGAATGCTCACCTAATGGTGAACTACATTTTCCCGTTTTGACTCGGGATCGGCATTGGATCAGTGCACGACGGAATATTTATCTCTCCTGCCGTTGAAAGCAACATCTCGTCATACCTTTAATGCTTAGCCTCGCGAGACAGATTCAATACTAATCGACATCGGGAGCCTCTGCTGTTGGGGACATCACGTCTTCGATTACACCGGTAGGTGGGAATCGGCTTTCAAAGCATATATGTTCTCATTAGGATACAATTGACGATATGATGCGATGTATCGTCGATTCTGTTTTCGAGAAAACGGTGGCACCATGATGATGAAAGAAAACGCAAGGGATAATCCAACCGTTATACCAGGATGATCCCGTCTAGTTGAACGGGAATTGTGTTTTCCAAGGCTCTCTCTTAAACGTTTCCCCCAGTGGCAGAACTCATGAAGTTAGGTAGATCCAGCCCATTTTTAGACTAACCATGGGCATTTACCGGCAAATGAAGACGGAACACGTCTCTTCCATTTAGTTCAAGAGTTCTTCCTAGAAAGATTGAGGGGAGTCGTTTCTGTTGGAGAAGATGCCATTGAACATGGAGGAAATTATATTTCCTTCAGAACTTCTCAATTGGATAGTGATTTGCTGCACCCTTGGCTTTCCCGCCTCCGGGGCACGATTTTTGAGGTGGAGTGGGGGGGGGGGGAGCCAGGCCCTCTCTCGCCTCGAGCCCCACGGCGCTTCTTGGGAAGGTTTGGAGGACGTAAACGAGGGTTATACAATGAGTCGAACGACCGGCAAGATTGCCGATAAGGATAACCAACAAATACCAGAAATCCACATGACGCAGTGGATTTCTGTCAGAAATCTCGAGAGACTGCAATTCGAATTCGCTTGTACAAATTGGGATGTACTTCTTGAACCCAAAGATTGTGAATCTGTTGTTGTTGACTACATGAAGTTTTGTTTCGACTATTCTTGCCCTATAATCTGTGTACAGCTCATCTATGTTTTGACCTATCCCATGAGAGCTCTATGATAAGTCAGATATCCCTTTATTTATAAATAGTTTCCCACACTATTTGGCAATGCAGTTCAACATGTATAATAATTTTAGGGGCAATCGAGAATGGCTTTTATGATCGCAGACGACGCAGGCGGCCATATTGAAAGAAGCGCCAAGTTCACAAGCTCCTGCTGTGATGCAAATTGAGTCCAACGAGGCGCATGCATTTTTTTCGGGAACTCTCTTTAATGCTATGGCTTACAGTGTGATCCATGACATAGAAGCGATTTCAGCAGGGGTTTCAGCGTGATTATGTTTGGCACGTGTACATGCCACGGGGTCTGAAGAGGTTAAAGAATGGTTTTCACGCTACTTCATCGTAATACTATCCACAGGGCCTTTCTTCCATGATTACATTGTGGTTTAACCGAAAAGAATAGGAAGAAATATCTGCCGTACACGTCATGCCTGTCACAATACATGACCAAGTTCGCGAGAAGTGAGTTTCTTTCCCTTATTTCCGTCATATGCCGCTATGGATATCCGAGACCCGCATATAATAAGGCCGCAATTAAAACTTTTTCAAAGCCTCATTTGCTTCATTTGACTGTCCTCGGTGTCACTTTGTTGGCCTCTATTTCCCATCCCAATTCGCTTCACTTTGCTATCTCCCAAAGCCTTCTCATAATGCCGGATAGCGAAGAAAAAAAAATGGATGAGATACTCGAGAAAATGTAGATCGAGTCGCACTGACGCTTGCAGTCGTTTTCTTCCGATGCTGCAATGGCTGACCTTTGCAACGCGAGACAATCCTGCTGATGGACATGGGGGGGGGGGGCTAAGCGAAACGGTGGGGGGGCTTACATCTCCTCGCCGGGAAGGGGGGGACTTGAACCAAACTGGGGGGGCTGAAGCCCTCCTAGCCCCCCCCCCCCCCGTTACGCCACTGCATTAGCCACTAAGTTTCATTTGCTCTCTTGGCATTTATGACGCGGTTTAGCTTTATGTCTCTTTCATGACACATTACAGAGGATCGGAATGCCTTTTTACACTTACTTGACTGAAAACTTGCACTCGCATTTTTTCGGGGGAAGAGGGAGGCCTCGGACCGCGGATTCGCATGGACTAGACCGCGGATTCCAACCTTATTTGTGCATCGAATGCGGGGATTCCCGGGTGACGATGCAGACATGCGAGTCTGAAAAACAGGTAAGAGACGGAGAAGGGAAAAAGGCGAAGATTCCGACTTCCATTTCATCGCAACTTAGCAATATTTCCAATGCATTCCAATTCCGTCCTTTTCTGGGCAGGAATTCCTCGGGGAGGAATGTTCACCTAATGGTGAACTTTACATTTTCCCGTTTTGGCTCGGGATCGGCATTGGATCAGTGCACGACGGAATATTTATCTCTCCTGCCGTTGAAAGCAACATCTCGTCATACCTTTAATGCTTAGCCTCGTGAGACAGATTCAAAACTAATCGACATCGGGAGCCTCTGCTGTTGGGGACATCACGTCTTGGATTCCATCGGTAGGTGGGAATCGGCTTTCAAAGCAGATATGCTCTCATTAGGATACAATTGACGATATGATGCGATGTATCGTCGATTCTGTCTTCGAGAAAACGGTGGCACCATGATGGTAAAAGAAAACGCAAGGGATAATCTAACCGTTATACCAGGATGATCCCGTCTAGTTGAACGGGAATTGTGTTTTCCAAGGCTCTCTCTTAAACGTTTCCCCCAGTGGCAGAACTCATGAAGTTAGGTAGGTCCAGCCCATTTTTAGATTTACCGCATTTACCGGCAAAAGAAGACGGAACAGGTCTCTTCCATTTAGTTCAAGAGTTCTTCCTAGAAAGATTGAGGGGAGTCGTTTCTGTTGGAGAAGATGCCATATAACATAGAGGAAATTATATTTCCTTTATAGTCAGAACTTCTCAATTGGATAGTGATTTGCTGCACCCTTGGCTTCCGCCGATTGGGAAAACTTGGCTCTCCCGCCTCCGGGGCACGATTTTGAGGTGACCTTCATGCGACCGTCCCGAACATGCAACTGAGGGGGAGTGGGGGGGCCGGAGCCAAGCCCTCTCTCCCCTCTCCTCTCTCGCCTCGAGCCCCACGGCGCTTCCTGGGAAGGTTTGGAGGACGTAAGCGAGGGTTATACAATGAGTCGAACGACCGGCAAGATTGCCGATAAGGATAACCAACAAATACCAGAAATCCACATGACGCAGTGGATTTTTGTCAGAACCAAGCCCGGAAATGTTTGCATTTGGTGGCGCCGCACGAGAACTAAACAATTGGAGTATACAAGGCGTTCCAAAATTGTGGACACATGTAGGCGATATCACAAAATCACAACACGCTTGACGTGGTGGTCTGGTAGCACAACCATAGATGTCCAATTCAATCATGTATATTGTTATCTGTTACCATCCAACATGTATATTGTTATCTGCAAAAAATTTGTCATTTCCTACATTGTTAGCAGTCTATGAATAAAAGACTAATTGTCTTAACTGTTATTAATATTTTTGTGCTTTCAGAGTGGAGCGCGAGTCAAAAGAGAGAAGGTGGAGTTTTGGGAACATTGCCCAAGATGAACAAATGATCAAGTTGAGCCCATCGCAAATGGCTTGGTGAGTGTTTTTTTTTTCTATAGCTTTCAAATAATATTGCAGATAGTCCCGAACGAAACAAAGGAATGAGTCTCGTATGAATCAAAATCCAAACAATCGACAGGTATGTGCTTATTACTTTCCCCTATGGTGCCAACGAAAACCATGGTTCTGCGTAACACCATCTTTATTGAAACAAAGGGCAAAAATCGCCTTTCCACAGAACAGACACTGAAAACAACCGCGGAGAACCGGAAATAATAATTTCGTCAATTTAAAAGTGCTTCTTCACCTTCCCCTTGCCCCAGTCATAGATGTCAGCCCCTGCCTCTCGCAGGACCCCTGCAGCCAACCATTTCAACATGAACTTCCCAGCTTGGCGTTCACTTCTTTTAGCTTCTTCGACTTCGCGATCCCCTTCACCCAGTTGATGAAATCCTTTCCGCCTTCTCTGATGACTCCTTCGTTCAATTTCTCTCCTGCCCACAAGGATGCGTCCCCGAGGTCACCCAAGTCGAACCGTCCCAATTGAGGCCCCGAAGCCGAAACTTGAAATGAAAAGGTCTGTCTCTGGTGGATTTGTTTCATACCATCGTTATCGGAGTGGACCGTAATTAGTTGCAAACGAAAAGGGGAAAGGGAAGCAATCACTTTAATGCGAGATCTCCACATAGTAGTAACTAGCAGGAAGGCCACGAATATTGTAGGCAATTTAGATAGGTAGCATCTCTCGATCGAGAATCCAGCTCAATGCAGGAAATAGAATGATCAGAAGGGTATCCACGTATAAAAGCGTCTGGATTATTCTTCATTTTTTAAGAGTATTTTTCACGAAGTTTCGGTTCACCTATTGTGTTTCAACTCGTGTTATACTGAATTCCAGAACATTCTGCATGTTTTAGAGCATTTTTAGGCATTTACTCTCATTCCGAGACATTTTGGAAAATTGGAAAATTTAAATTAACCAATTAACGTTTTCATGATTTGGCATTTTCCAGCAAATCACCACTTCTCGTAGAGTCGATTAAAACATGGCTGATATCTCTGCCATGTACAGTTCTTTGGGAATAAACGTGACAGGAACCTATTATATGGGTACGGTAGAGAGCCGACGTTTGTCCTCTGTCCGCCGGAGTCCTGCACGGGCGGCTTTTTCGAACCCGACCCGAAACTCGATCGTCGATCGCCGGACCGAACTTTTCGGGTTGGGTCGGGCCGAACGGGTCAGCGCGCGGCCCAGTTAGGCCTAGAAGCCTTAGAACTCGAGGTCACTGGGTACGTCTTCCTTCTGAACGACTCAGCTGGCTTGGCTGACGCTTCCATCTATCCCATGACGTCACGTTCGTGTTGGCCTGTGCTCTCGCAATTCACTACGTTCCACTGGCAGCTGCTTGCCCGAGAGTGACGTCATTCAATGATGTGGTCATGCCTAGCCAATGCGTCGTTTTCGCTAGCAGCTGGAGAAAAACACACCTTTGGCAGCGTATTCTCCTACAAACAGGATGGAACCCACTGAAATTTGGTTTATAGGGACAGTGGTCTACCCAAGGGGTAAGAGGGGTGCTTATGGGGGGTCATAACGTCCCCATCCATACATGCTACAGGTTCGATTCTCAAAATGGTTAAATATGGTCATAATTGCAGGGGTACAGACTTTTCATGTCAACCCCCCCACCCCCCATTGGGATTTTCTGGGCACGCTACTGCATAGAGAAATTGGGGTATTGGGGGGGGGGGGGGGTGAATGACGTGACGCACTCAATATTATTTATGGAACAGAAGTCGACTAATCTTACATAGGAAGACGTGAATGTTTCACGGGTAGCAGCTAGCAGAATATTAATGGGCGCATCGCGATTCTGTGGAATTCCCCGAAATGGCATCAGCTCGAATACAAAATGGGCTGGTCGGATCAATATATCCATTGCAAAAATAATATCAACTGTCTGATTACAGACTACTTGATTGTCTGATCTGCAGAAAAAAAGGTGTCGAATAGGAAGACTTACTGTCGGGCAGGAATGGAGATCTGGGAATTTCATCTCCAATGTCTTCCACAAATCCGGATCCCCAAATCCCACCACGGTCATTCGCCGGGAAGCCCTGCAAAAGGAAAATAACCAAATGTACGTTCTTTGGCTTGTCAGCAGAGGCTTGGAAGTCCCAAGCCGAACCCACCGCACGTGGGCCCCTTCGAAATGACAGATTCCATGTCTCGAGTCGGATTCCTATGCGTCTAGAGTGTACGTGCAGTAACGTACCGTTCAAGATCTTACTTTTAGACTTACATCGCTGCAGAAATCCGGGAATACGATAGAAATTAATCAGAAGAAGCGTCCCCTTACTGGAACAGGGCATGCATCGTCGCAGTCATTTACATAAAACTTTTCCCAATCACCCCCAATTTGATGCCTGGATTGATGCGCCACATCAGTCTCAGTTTATAAAAGAAAATACTGTAGGACCGACGGAATAAAGGTCACTCACGGACGCCAGCCGTTGGACGAGTAAAACGAGAAGAGGCGCAGAGACGTACATGATGCAAACCAGCTGCGATTGGACCTTCTGCCGTCGATGGCGTTTCTCAGACTCCTTAAATGCGATTTTGAAAAGCGATTCATGGCTGGGACCAGTCCCCTGAAGGGGTTTTTCGACCCCTTTTTGCCTGTGGCGTTTTCGCCTCCTCGATACTGAGCTAATCTCCTATCTGGAAGGATTAGCTTATCCCTTATCACGTATGACCTTCTCCGCTCCACTCGCCGTGTTGCTGGGACGCGGGGTTTCTAGAAAAAGTCGAGTTTCAGAGACGTGAATGTTCAATATTTCACATTTCCACTTGAGGGCTAATTTTATCTCTCTCTCCATACTGGGAAAGGGAAAAACCCGGAAACGGGGTTCTGATCCTTTCTGGCAGCAGTTGAGTGAGTCAACTGCCTGGTAAGCAAAATGTGGCAGGCCAAAACATCCACGACTACACTGTGCAGTTACATGAGAAAAAAAAATTCGATCTTCCGCTCCTCCAGTCATGAGAATCAGGCGATAGTCGAAAACCGTTTTTCATGCATTTTTTGTCTTTACGATTTGTCTTCCTTCGAAGTCGTTCTACCTTTGGTTTCCGACCCGACTCCGGGAATGGCTACTAGGCGGTAGACTCCATGTAAAGTGCAGGGGTAATTGCCCTGATTATTATTGTTTTCTAACAAATTTGCAAACACGGGACATGCGGCGGATACACGAGACGATGGAAAGTTTTCAACTTCAGATTGAATGTGCTTACACCAGATACGACAGTCCCTCAGACGAGGACCCCTCTCCGCAGACCTGTAGAAAACCTTAAAGTCTACCTGCGGATTTCTTAGGCTCATGAATGGAGCCAGCGATTTCAAGGTGCATTGCACTCATATCTCCTAGACATGGCCTGCAAGGGGGCGTGTGTTGCCCCAACACTAACAATATGCCCCCCCCAAGAAAAAAAAAAGAGATCCATCAAGTGATTCCAAAGTATTAAGTGGTACCACCCGCCGGCGGAGAAAGAACACACCCGGACTCCATCCTTCACCTCCCGGGTTCCCCCCGGAAGCTCAAGCCACTGGATCACCGAACCCTATGAATGACCTAATGGCGTTAGTGCCATGGAATTCCATGGCACTAACGCCCCCTTCTCCTCTTCCCCCTAAGGCTCTTTGCGAAGGGATCCTAGGCTTCGTTGAACTTGGATGTCCATTTCCTTTTCACTTCTTGGTGCCAGTGAGAGAGGTTTGATCCTTAACTGGTTTACCATAGAGAAATCGGACAAAAATGTAGGATGACATAATGGCTTAGATCTCCGGAATAAAATGTAGAATGAGCTTCTTATGTGACACATGCAGAGCTAAGAAAGTACAGTAACATGGTTTTGAAGTTTCAACTGTCTGCGTTACAAAATAAAGGAATGACGTCATGTAGAAAACATAAGAACTTTGGAAAAATTTTAGCCGTACTTCCCGCACGGAATACCTTCACGTGATTGGCTCTTCCAGAAGGAGCCCTCCACTGCACTGCGTCTCCTGTCACGAGTCATAGAAGTAATCAAAGTCTTTCTCGTCGGCAGAGACTTGAAGGGGGGCCCATGAAGGTCTCTATTTACGGCGCGCTTGGGATTTTTAAATGTATTTCCCATGCATCCAGTCCAGCCTGATTTCCTATAATTTTCCTATTGACTCAGTAATAAAGGACTCAGATCCCCTTACACATAAATGCACGAAAGACCTGCCCCTCCATCTTTAAAATCCAGGAAAAGACGATCAAAACCGATTGCCACGTTTTTTTTTTCTTCAAACATCGACGAAGAAAACGGCTTCTGTACCGTTAGATTAACGAGCAAGATGCTTAAATTTTATAAGAAAACATTCTCTGCTCTCTCCACTTTTGATTCACGACAAAATATTTTCAAGTAAATGAACGAGCAAAGAATGCCAGGCAATTTTCTCCGAGCTACGCGCGCTCGTCAAAAATTCGCAGAGAGAAACAAACCGGAGAAGGGTTAATCTTAAAAAGCTCGAACGGAAATATCCTATCTCTATTCCTGGTTCGTGTTTTAATGTAATGTGTCGTCAGAGTGGGATACGTCTCATTCAATGTCTGTGTTCAGAGATGACAAAAGGGGGAGTAGTGCGTTGCAAATGTGCCGACCAGGTGGCCTCACAATGGAGCATAGCCAGGTCTCATTGAAAAAAGTTAGTCCAATCTCGTGTGTCTCATGGCGTTATTTCCCTGGCGTGTTCGTGTGTTGTGGGTGCAGTGATGCAGTGATGATACACTCATCGCCAAAAAAAGCAGCTCCAAGAAATAGTTGAGCGATTAAGGTGAAATTTGACTCATAGACTCGCAGTCAGTGTGTCACGAAATCGTTAAAGTTTCGAGAGCGTAAGGTGAAAACCGACAGAGAAACCATGCCTAACACTCCAATTCAAGTGTATGGGGGGGGGGGGGGGGGAGGGGGCGGTGTCGTACTATTCGCCCAAAACGATCAACCATGAGGGGCTTATCGATGAAAGGTGTGAAAGGAAACTCTTGAAGATGTTCGCGCAAAGTTTCAAGGTAATTCGATTTGGCAATTTTGAGAAAACTTCTCGAACGGCAGAAAAATAGAGGAAGAGGACCGGCAAGTTCTTTTTCCCTATTTCCTCAACTTATGACCTTGAAACTTTGCTAAATTTTCATAAGCATATTCCAGAATTTCCATTCCATGTTTCTCAAAGAAAATGTTCAATGTTCTCAGTGATCGGTTTTGGAAATTACTGCGACCCTCCTTTTGAATTAGAGCGTTTGGCAAGTTTTCTTTGTGCTACGCCCTAAAACTCAATCCGATATTACGACATACAGCTACTAACTTGTGTGCCAAATGTCATCAAGTTCGCTGCACTCCTCGGTTGCTTTTTCTTTTGGGTATGAGAGTATAAATCGAATCATCTCTGTGCAGGAAACTCTCCACTCCGAAGATTCTCTTCTGCCGCTTCCTCCGTTTCCTCATGCACCAGATACTGAGGCAAGACATCGTTTTTCTTTTCGGAAAAAAACTGAAAATTGAAGCGCAAAGATATCTGATTCCTAGTCTTCGAGATCTGCACTTCCACTCTGCTTAAATATCGGAATACGCATCAAACGTCCGTTTGGGTTGGACATGTGGGCCTTGCAGGAAGCCCATAGGACCTCTGTCGTCCAATTAAATCCTAAAGGAGTCCTATTACGATTTTGAACAGAAAAATCTTATAGGAAACATGTCCAATGGGATTCCTATTTTAAATCAGGTCCATCTACGAGGTTTCTGAAACACAAAACTTTACAGGAATCATATATTGTCCTATACGATTTTTATGCTTTTTATGCTTGAATATTGTTTAAGAAATCTTTTTTTATTTTGTCGTAGAAGGGTCGAGGGCGGAAAAGTAAATAATCCGTCTTCTAACTGGCACATATCGCCGAGGGTCTGACAAGGTGACGCAAATGACATTTTTTAATTTTCGGAAGAGCAAGACTTCATCCTTTGATGAATTTTTACCTTGAGGATTTAGGGTCTTGGCTCCTTATAGAGTTCCCTTGGGTGAGGGTCACATAGATACTTCGATCAATCTGGAGTGGGCCGCATTAAAAAGTTTTTCCATATTAACAAGGCTAAATATGCTAAAGCCAAATTATTACATGGAAGGAAACAGAAAGGATTATTACAACTTCAAGGGACGTTAAGGGGGAAATAACGGTGAAAAACATGTAGCACAGTAGCAATGCACGGTACGTTATGGTTGCAATAACTTAATACTCTATGTACAGTTTTCAGAGGTGGTGAGACCACCAGACGTATGCACATGTGCATGGCGTATATCAGCGGTTCTCAAACTGTGTGCCGCGGCACCCAGGGGTGCCGCGAGAAGCTAGCAAGGGTGCCGTGGGTGTTGAACGAATTTTCTTTCCGGCATTTCGACAAGGTAGTGCAATAAGGCCAGATAAGGCCTGCAATGCTTCTGGTGTATTCGAAATAAACGGAGCAGGCAGAAAACCTCAGATGAAGAACCGCTTCTAAAGTGCGACACTTCTGACTTGATATATCAAGAAATAAGAGTGCGTATCAGAAGTATGCAATATAAGTCAATTTTGATAACTATTGACTCATATTGAGTACTTCTAGCATGCACCTTTATTTTAAAAATATCTATAAAGGGGGAAAGTCAAGATCAATGCTGTTGCTGCGACAAAGATACAGATTCCATTTTACTACCATATACGTCTACCTTTCTCATTCATGGTACAAAAAGAAAACGTTCATGTCCCGTCTAAGGGGCCATGCCCACTGAATGCGAAAAGCTGCGTTGCTACCACTGCGACCGTCGCAGCTCGTCGCAATCGGTCGCATTGGAGATGCGTCGGACCTTCGCAGTCGGCCGCAATACACTTCGCAATGAAATCGGACGATTCTATCTTGTCGCATCTTCACAGTGGTTCGCGCTGCGTAGCTATTGACTGCAAGTTATGAAATCCTTGGATACTTCGTAATTTGATGGCTCTTTGGGTGGAATGACATCGGTGATAGATGATGCCGATCATCACCATTGATTTTCAATGAACAAGATACATAGCTAGAGTAAATAAATCTTCAAGAAAGGTCTCGATATCAATTATATTTTCCATGATTTTCCATTGTTTCATTTCATGAATTCCAATGAATCCCAATTTTAATTTTTTTTTAAGTTGTGAAGCTCTTGTTCTTCGAGTGCAAAAACCTGAGTCGCCCCCCCTTCAGGAGAGTGCTGCATGATTTTTACGTATATGAGGTATTCAGAATATACGCATGGAGTATGCATTTACCCAACTCAATGACACTGCCACCATTTGCGCAGGGAAATGCATGGTCTGGAGTTTGTGTCCTGCCCTCTCTTCCAGCAGATCAAGAAGGGTCTTCAACAGCTCAAGAGACATTCTCACGTTCATAGGAGAAAAACACTCTTTACCTTCGGTGGTAAAATTTTCTACTAGGGTCTCGAATTCTCCCGTCTGAAGGGTTCTGTGTGCAGGACGTACCTACCTACCGTACCTACAAAAAAGCT